TGTGTGTGTGTGTGTGTGTGTGTGTGTGTGTGTGTGTGTGTGTGTGTCCGCGTGCGTGTGTGTGTGTGTGTGTCTCTTTTAGGATGCCTTTGAAGATGTCGTGAAGTTTTTTGGAGAAAGCTCCAAGACAATGCCACCATCAGTCTTCTTTCCCATTTTTGTTCGTTTCATCAAAGCCTACAGGGTAAGGGATCCAAAGAAAGCCCAGTCCCTTTGTTATGGATGTGGTCTACTGACCTAAAGCTCCTCCCACTTTCAGTTTGACCTACAGATTTGATCAGTGATGTATGTGCCCTCAGGTAGCTGAGGAGGACAATGAGCAGAGGAGGCGTCAGGAGCAGATGCTACTGGAGAAACTGGAGCAGGAGGAGCAGCAGCACCAGGAGGAGGAAGAAAACACAAAGGTGACATGTGCAATTCAATGCAATTCAATTCAGTTTATTTATATAGCGCCAAATCACAACAAAGTTGTCTCAGGGCACTTTACAGAAACATTCACATATATAAAAGCCAATTAGTAAAGTTCTCTATCTAAGGAATCCAGCAGACAAGTTGAATCTTGGATCATGAACACTGACATCATTGTCCAAACATATTCTGATTGGTTAGATCTGTGCCATTCCTTAAAAACTATGTAATAAGTCATTGAACACCAGTGTTTCCTGTCTGTTACAGGACTGCTTTGAATATTTTATTCTAGCTTTTTAAAGAACTAATTAAACAGACACAAACATTATTATTTCACTACTGCCGGGTTGCAAAAATTAGCTTACGGTGGTGAAGATTCTCAGTCATCCAGGACATGGTAAATAAAAAAAATAGGTTAAAAACAAAACAACTGGACTTTATTTGTAACTGAAGACATTTCACTTCTCATCTGAGGACATGACACATGCATATTAACCTCTCACTCTTCACAATAGATGATCGTTAGGGTCTTTGTTAGTTCCACCCACAGGGGGGCCACTCTGCTCACATGGATGAAATTCCTGTTAGGTGTGAAACTGGCTGGGTATCAGTCCTAAAGCTGCATTCTGTTTTTGAAAGCTGAAATTTGAGACCTCCTCCTCTGTTTAAAGATGGTTTCTTTCTTTCTTGCATAAACCACTTTCTTCACTCCCCTCTCAAACATCTGTCCTCTCAGTCCAAAATGCAGACATTCTGGTCCTCAAAAAGTGTGTCCCTTATATGTCCTGATGCATGCTCAATAATCCAGGTAGAAAAATCTAAAGTTAAATCTGGTCCTCTGGACATAAAAAAAAAAACAAAGCAAAACAACAAAAAAATGTAGAAACGTTTCATCTCTCATCCAAGAGACTTCCTCAGTCTGAGGTGCTGTATTCAGCTCAGTCTCTTAAATAGCACCTTCTCAAAGTGATCAACCAGTTTTGCTGCTGACAACCAAAACCAGCTGATCACATGCTCAAGAAGGACCATCAGCCTAACAATGGATCATTAGCACACTGATGGCTGTTTACTGTTCACAGAGGGCTGAGTGATACTAACAATCACAGCATTGTAAGAGGGGGACAATTGAACACGTAGGCCTCCACCCCTTTTTAACGATGGACGATTTCTTTTCACAAAGATGGCCTCCTTTACTCCTCTCTCAAACCATCGTTCCTCTCTATCCAGGATGTGCACATCTTCATCCCTGAAAGAGTGACCGCTGGCCTGGAGATGAGTGTAGACC